GAGAGAGAGAGAGAGAGAGAGAGAGAGAGAGAGAGAGAGAGAGAGAGAGGTCATTGTAAGGGCTTTAACAAGGAAATATTTTTTGGGGAGATATGGGATGGCTTATCGTAGCCTAAGTGATGATATTATGGAACTAGGGTAATTAGAACAATTCATTACACTTATGGACATTTTTGAAGTTTTTCTCTGCTTGGACAACAGAAAAATGAGGCCTGTATAAAACTTCCTGCTGCATTTATAAGCCAATGTGGACATCTTTGGATTTGGTGATGTCTCACCTTAGGGGGGTTGAAGGGTATCAATGTGGTTTCAACCTTTTACTTTGAAAGGGGTTTGAAGGGGTGTGCCATACTTTTTTCATTCTATACATTTATATGCAGTTTTCAACTCCATGTGTGGAGTGAACCCTCAGCCAAAAAACTTCCCCATGATACCAACCGGCCTAGCTCAGTTGGTACACACATGAGCTGTTGAAACTTGAAACGCAGACCCGCGTACAAATTCTGATCAGATCAGAGTAATTATCAGACTACTAATGAGTAGTAATAACTGCTAATAACTTAATAAGTGCTCAAAATCACTCCACAGATAAGTAATAAGATAGTGCCATATGGCATTTATAAGAAAGATTTTACTCTCAATTTACCTGGGGCTAGTCAGTTGTAACTTCAAAGTTCAAACTTCAAAGATGATATCTTTTTTTCACCGCCAAAGATGATATCTCAACTTCTCAAGGTTGTTGGCCCTTCTTTCCTTTGGAAAATTTTTAGATATGCCCCTGAAAGTTCGATTTATGTCCACCGTGTCCCTCCGATGGGGCCGGCTTACCCTGTCTCGCCCCTCTGAAAACGACTGAAGTTTCCAAAAATCCCCTGGCATCGTTTGGGGCTGAAATGTCTCCAAAATGCCCCTACCAGTACCAGTTGCAAATTTCCAGTATGCCCCGATTGCTCCCCTCCCAGGGCCAGGGGAACGGTTGCCAGTGCCACCAACGGCCACAGGGGCATGCTGGAAAGTTGCGCCCCTCACTGACAAGGGCCTGCAGAAAAGTTCAGAGGCCCAATGGGCACGACAGGGTAAGTCGGCCATCGAAGGGGCACGGTGCACATAAATCGAACTTTCAGGGGCATATCTAAAATTTTACCTGGTCCTTCTCGTGAAAAACATAGACTTCCCCACAAGTTCCTTGCTTTGCAAATCTGCACAAGTTACAGCACAGCACTTTTTTTCTTTTTTTTTTATAAATGAAACCTTATTACATTACAAACCGTAAAACCGGGCCGTTCCTTACAAAAAAAAAAAAAGAAACAATTAGGGAATCCCCTACAGCTACAGCACAGCACTTCTTCTTTTTTTACGTTTTGGAATTTATTTTCGTTTTTTCTAATTTGTGCTCGAGTCGTGCTCCCGGAACCTTGACTGGGACCTTGCCCGGAGCTGGCCTGACTGGGCGGACCAGATGGCAGCCCATCTATTTTGCTCATTTCATTGACAATATCACCGTACTCACTATGTGGATAAGACGGCTTCCGCGCGAAAAAAAAAGAAAGTACATTGTAATAAGGAATGAGGACCTCGTTGTCCGCATCAGGCTGCAAGTAAAATAGTAATGCGAATTCGAAACCCGTTATCATAAACCAGGGTTCACTTTAGGTAGGAAGTTTTCTTTAACACTCCTAAAAAAAACTGCGGTCCTCGCGTAACGCTACCACGCGGGCCCAACAAAAACTGGTTGGGAGGTGGTAGCGGTGGGGCACGACCGTCGGGAAGTGGGGGATCTTTTTTGTGTGTGTGCACGCAGCGCACTTGGGCGATGACTTTTGGCGCCTGCAGCGCCGTTTTTCTTTTTTTTTTCGGTCAGGGGAGTTGGGCGGGTAGGTAGGGGTGGTGACACCAGGGCAAAGCGGGGAGCGGAGTCGAAAGGCCCGTTTTCTTAGCAGAAGATTCATTCCGATTTTGCTCATCCTATTGATGGAAGTAGCCTCTCTCTTATCTCTCTGCGCGCAGGGGCAGGAAAGCAGTGTATATTTCCATATTTTTATCGAAGATTCATTCCGATTTTACTCATCCTCTCGATGGAAGTAGCCTCTCTCTATCTCTCTGCGTGCATGGCTGGAAATCTCTCTCTCTCTCTCTCTCTCTCTCTCTCTCTCTCTCTCTCTCTCTCTCTCTCTC